TCCTCAACCTCAGAGCAGGCACCTTCCTCTCAACACAGGACTCAAGAAAGATGCGTTCACACAGAGAACACAGGGACTACTGCCAGCAACAGAGTAAAACCAGGGCTTCAGTATGGCCCTAAGACCAGCCACTCTCAGGGGCCAGCCTGGGAAGTTTCACGCACTGCTACAAAATTAAAATAATGAAGACAGAGTAGGGAGGGTCTCAGAACTAAATTTAAAAAACTTTTTAATTAGGATATTCTGAATTTCCTAATTTGGGGAGAGACAACTTCATTTTAAATCTTTTTTTTTTTTTTTAAACTGGCATTTGTTTTTATTTTTATTAAATGTTTTCACTTGGCAAAATAAAAGAACTGGCAATCCCTATGTTGGTCTCCAGCACTTTGGGGGAAATTTTACTGCCCAGGAAAACCAGAATTCTGGTTTTGATGGCCCTACTCCTACTTTCTATTTAAAATGTTGAAATTTTGGAAAATTTTTATAAATATGTAGGCTTAAGATATGTAAATGAATGAATATTTAGGTAAGGAATTCAATTCTTAGAGCATTATTTTAATATCCAGAAAGCAAGTGACAAGTGATGATAGGGGCATACAGAAAGCCAATTTCATGGATACCAAGATCAATGGCATCACTATCTTCACAGGTTGTGGGAGGACCAAATTACATAAGCAGCAAAGGGATTAATGATTCTGATTTTAATACATCAGAAATGTCACAAAGCAGAGTAAATATAAATCTCAAAGTAAGCTAAGGAACACAGAAAGAACTCTTTGCAGCCCTGCCCCTGACCACTTGCTGACCAGTTGTGCCACAGTGGCTAAGTTTCTCTCTCTGAGACTTTGTTTTCTTATCTGTAAAATGGGGATAACTTTGAGGAATGTTATGAGGATCATAGAGTGTACTTTTGCTGATACATAGTAAATACTCAACAAATTGTAGCTACTACGGAATGAATGTTGTATTTTATATGTAAAGACAACTAAATTACTTATCCAAAGTCACAAGTGGCAAACCCTAAATAAAGAGCCCAGGCTCTTTAATCTTACTCTATTGTTTTTTCTAGATTGCAATGTTCTTGAAGTGGGGGTGGGTGTTGCCTGATAAAACCATTTCAGTTAAAACAAAAACCATTTCAGTCAAAACAAAATTAACAGGTAGCATCGAATAAAACAAAAGTTGACAAATATATAATTTTATGTTTTTTTAATATTAGATAGCTGTGAATTTCTACAGCCAGCTAGTTTTTTTCCCATTTCTCAAACTTTAAAAAGCTGCTCCTGTACTTTTAAAAGTCTGATATGCTGGCTATATCAGACTAAGTAATTCAATTTCATAAATACAAGATACCATTATCCTATATAATAAAAGCCTAATATGGAAATTGTCCCCTCGGGCAGTTGTTCAACTGGGAGACCAGGAGTTTGACAGGTCGCTATGATGTGTGCTGACCACCAGGAGGCAGCGTGAAACATGGCGGGCATCAACGAAGCACGCTGGCAGTGGAAGAAAGTGGAGGCGCTGCCGGCCCCAATGACAGCAGGATGGCAGCGGGATGGTGGAGCAGGTGAATGGGCAGCGCCAGGTCAAGGCGGGTGCAAGTGGGGGCCCGACTGCCCCGCCAATGGTGACCAGTGGCGGGGGCAGGGCTGCTGCCCAGCTCCCAGGAGCTGAGAGAGCCAGGTGGGGGGGAGGGGGCGGCCCTGACCGATTGCTCCACAGACTGCGACCAGTGACCAGCAGCAGTGGCGGGACTCCCAGGTGGTGAAGGGGCCGGGCGAGGGTCCCGGCCCTGATCGATCGCCCCACAGGCAGGATGATAGAGCAGGTGAGAGGGCGCCACCAGGCCAAGGTGGGGTGCCAGGAGGGGCTGTGGGGCTGGGGGCAGGAGCTGGGGCCCGATCTCTGCAGGCCACCTCAAGGGACCCCACCCGTGTATGAACTTGTGCACCAGGCCTCTAGTTTGAAAAATAATCCTTCACTTAGACAATTTCCATTGAATAGTCAATTATTAAAAACAGCTTTTTAGCTTTTCATACCCTGGTGAATTTTGTGTCTTTAAACCAAGGCAACTTCTGATATGATTTTTAAAAACCAACATTTTGCTCACTTAAAATAGCTTATTTAAAATCTCCAAGGCCTTCCACAATGACCTTTTATAGGAAGTCCAGGGGAACCTGATTCACTTTTAAAAGGCACTTTGGAGGCTGTCTCTTCTAGCCTCTGCATTACACAGGCACCTTGGTCTGTGCACGCTCAGGCTCTTCCCCTGTTGTGGGGCGCACGGTCTTCTCCAGACTCTGCTGTCCCGAGCAGACCACAGCTGCAAGTCTGGACAGGGTAAGGGAAGGTGCTCCGGTGGAAGAGACTCTTTCTCTATGTGGAGCTGACTACATGGAGATGAAAGCCGACAAACTGGCCTCAGAAGGACCTATGAGCTAACTGCTCAGACGGCAGGCATTCAGGTGAGGCAACCACAGTACTACACCACACCCAACGCCATATTTAAATAGCATTTTTCTCAAGGAACTCAAGGAATGAATTTATACTTACAGCATTCCAGTGGGAATGAAACTTCCCCTGACCGGTCCTCATCCTACCACTATGTCCCTCAAATATTCTCTACACATCTCTACCGCTGCCCTTATCAACCCGGATTATCTTATTTCCCAGGACTCTGGGCCACATCTGGATAGACTATGTCCTATTCACTACTCAGTCCCCAGTGGGTAGCATATCACCTGACACACAGTGTAAATGCTCAATAAGTAATTTGATAAATGGAAGGAGAAAGCAACTCAGAAGCGGATTTTAAAGGGCGATTAATTAGCTCTCTTCAAGTGTCTTCACACTCCGGGTCAGAACAGAAACTATCACCTTTCTCTGAACTTCCCACAATTAATAAACATGTATCAAGCCAAGTACTACAGGCTATGTGTGGAGGAAACAAAAATGAGCAAGACAAGAATCCAAGCACATAAGGAAGCTCACAGTGGCAGTGGTAGGGGAGGTATGTGCATGTGTAAGTGTATGTATTTATGACCGTTAAGGGAACAGAGGAACAAACTGCCTGGTCTCCTTGCCTGCCACTTTCTCATTCCCAGGTATCCTATGGAATCCTGCCCAATTAGTTTCACTGTCTTCATGCCGAGACTCCAGTTGCTATAGAATAAGGTCCACCCTCTTCAGCATGGCATCCAGGTCTCAAAGCATTCATTTCTGATGTTCCCTAGTGAGTCTTCCTCAGAATATGGGGGTGCTGCTCCACTATGGCCCCAGCTTAGAAAACCCTTCCTCTCTCCTCTGCCTTCCTCTAAAGTACACCTCTGCTCATCTCCTGTCTCACCTCCATCCACCCAAACCCTTAGCCACCTATTAGTGCCTATGCTGATTTCTTTTCATCACGGAGTATAGCTGTATTATCCCTCATTTATTTAAAATATGTCTTTGTTGATTTCAGAGAGAGGGGGAGAGGGATAGAAACAATTGATGAGAAACATCAATTGGCTGCCTCCTGTATGCCCCCTACTGGGGATGGAGCCAGAATCCTGGGCCTGTGCCCTGATTGGAAACAGAACCAGTGACCTCCTGGTTCCTGGGTCGATGCTCAACCACTGAGCCACACCAGCCAGGCTTATCCCTCATTTTTATATATTTTAGGTGTGGAGCCATAAAAGATTGGTAATTCTGAATTGCTTTTAATTCTATTTCATATGTCAGGTACTACAGTAACAGTATAAACCTTCATTTGATGGTTTAATAAGTCCCTGTACTTTAGATGATCCAAGATTAAATATATGAAACAGGTATAGTTATGCCACTAAATTTTAACAGCATGGTCCCAAGGCCAACATTTAAAAAACACACAGGGTATAGAGAACACAAAAAATGATCTATTCCAAAGAAACACGAAGGGAAACAAATTCTCACAAACAAACGACAATACAAAATTTGGGAATTACTTTTCTGTTACAGTAATGTAAAACAAATCCATCCCAAATCGTATAGCGTTGGAACTAGCACTGGTTACAATACTAAATATATGTACAAGAATACAGAATACTTTTAATTCTGAATTTCAAATTTAACTACTACTCAATGTTTCTTGGACATCCCCTGGGGAAACCACTCATCGCCTATCACTGAAGGTGAATACCCTTTATTTTGAAGAACCAGCGCTCTGTGGTTCCTCCAGCTTTGAAGGGGCTTTCCACAGAAATCACTGTTACCCACACCCACGTGAAAGACCTCAACGCCAAGTCCTGTACATCTGACGTCATCAAAAAAATTTCCCTGCACTTTCAATTTTGGGTCCCCAGGGCATTCTGCTTCCTGACCTGGAGTGCCACTGTATTTACTTCATTGTTGCCCTTCACCCACCTGGGTGGTACTGGATAACTTATCTCCACTTCTGTCCCTGGGTTATTCGAGGTCATGAGCTAGTTCAGCCCAAGTCCCTGTGCCCCGCATTTACACTTAAAGAGATTTAGTGTCGTTTTAGTCTTACTAGTCTCCATAGATCCTCCACAGGAAATCTTAAACTTCATTATTCCTGCATATCGTAAAAGTGAGTTCAAATTTATAAACTAAGCCTTGGTTCCCGGTGGAAAAACTCGCGCGGTACAGCTAAGGCACCAGCATTTGCTATAGTGACCACTCTGGCCTCTGGACGGGGGCGCAGCTTCAACTTCACTCCACGGTCCCCCTGCAGCCCACCTCGCACCACCTCTTCCTCGGGTCGAGAGTTCCCGTGGAGATGCTCGCACTGTGCCCGAGAGCGGGACGGGACCGATGCATCACCCCACCTCATGACCGCCCTTGGGGGTGCGGGAGGGGGCGCTGAGCCGTTTGCGCTCTGTAACCCGCTCCCACCGGGACCTCAGGAGGGCGCGAGGGGTCTGTGCCGCGAGAGGAGGCTGCAAGAGCAAGTCTGCGTGGAGCTACACTGCATCCCTCCGTCCGGCTTTGGGGGTCCTCCGCCTCCCCCCAGATCTCACCGACAGGCTCATCCACCACGGGCAAGACCATCCAGTGGGAGAGGAAAAGCTCAGAGACGCGCTGAGAAACGAGGCCGACACTGCGAAGGGCACCAGC